CGTGTCAGCAGTAAACTTGCTGAGAAGACACTCTGCCATCATCCAGGTCATTAATGAAGATGTTGAGCAGGACTGGACCCAGCACTGATCCCTGGGGGACTCCACTAGTTAGAGGTCTCTAGCTGGACTTGGCACCATTGATCACCACTCTTTGGGCTCTATTATGTAGTCAATTCTTAACCCATCTCACTGCCTGTTCCTCTGGCTCGTATTTTCTGAGCTTGCTCACAAGGATGTTTTGGGGGATTGTGTCAAACGCCTTGCTAAGGTCAAGCTGGACTACATCAACCGCTCTCCCTGCCTCTACCCATTAATAATCAAAACTTAAAACACTAAAGAGAGGCGTAATAAACTTTATTACATTTTCTATTTTCACATGGGCTTATTATGATAACTGTATTCTTTTAATATCAGATCTTCTCAGTCAAAAAAGGGTAGAAGAAAAGACAGACATATCAAGAGTTGATGTATGATCTTACCTCAGTTGTCATTACCAGACAAGAAGCTGTAGGATTAATAGTGACGTCTCCAGTCATCAAACCAACATCCTGAAATTCTTCATACATCTCACGGTACTTCTGATTACTCAAGGCTTTAATTGGACTCGTAAATATCACACGCTGCTTCTCCCTCAGAGCCAGGGCAATTGCATACCTGTATTCAAACATGGCACATACTAAAGTTCTCACAAAGACAGTCAGTGCCCACTACTTTCCTCCATCTACTGCTTAAAAAATAAAACAAAATATGCAATTCAGAACACCAGTAGAATAATACAAAGCATTTCTTAGCTAGATTATGATGTTCAGTGCAAGCTTACCTCAACTATGCATGACCCTTCGGAGAATAGCAGATCACTGACAACAAGTTAACTGGTTTTCACAGACATCAGAACACATCTAGTTTAATCTAAAACCATAACTGTCACTATCTCATGACAGTCTATTATTTTTTCTAGTATATCTACATGTACATCTCACTTCTCACCTCAGGTCAGCAAAGCAACTCCCCTGTTAGACTAAAAAACAAACCATACGCTAACAAAAACCTAACAAAAACCATACACTATCACTTAAATGTTTCTTTCCTGATAAACACCAGGTTGCAAATTAAATCAAACCAGTGCTTCTGACAAAACACAAAAAAAACTCCTTATTCGTTTCAGCTAGGGGCAAGGAAACAAATTTTTTTTTCTAAGTTCAGGCAAATCTGTACTGCAAAAGCTTTCTTTCCAATCTATACAGTAACATCTCAACAAAACCAGATTGCTTAAAAATTAAAGGAAAGCTTAAATATGAAACAAGCTTTTCACTACCCACTACACAAGACGAAAGAAGTAATTTTTAAATTCCAGAGTAGTCAATTCAGTTCCAACACTGATGGTCCAAATGTTGTGTCAAGAAACTGAGACACAATAGCTACTGATAGTTGAGAACAAAATGACATGACAAACATCACACCATTCTCTTATTTGAGCCTGTCAAAAAATTACTTACTCTGCACAAACAGTTTTACCAGCTGACGTATGAGCCGACACTAACACAGACTGGTTATTATCTACACAAAGAATTGCTTCTCTCTGAAAGGCATCCAGAATAAATGGATATTCCTAAAACAAAAGAAAATTAAAACATTATTTTTTACAGACTGTTACTTACATCTAATTTTTTGACTCACCCAGTGTGCCAATTATGGACAGAAATGAAATCCTGTAGATACTTATAGCTTCAACTGAAGCTAATCCAGTCTTTTGCAATGACACTGTATTTAAGTAATTTCATCTAATATAACAGCAAAGATGTTTGTTTATGCTAATTTAGGAAGGGAAACTACGGTGTACAACTAAATCCACCACCTGATGTTGTAGAATAGAACTGAAACCCCAACAGCTTACACACTCCATTCCACCACATCATTTTACTCTACCAAATTCAAAATACAGAACACCAATTCTACTTACGACAGGCCATCTTTTCAAGACATCCTTTCCCAAGCCTGACTAACAAAGTACATAATTTTCCCCCTCTCGCCTCATCTACTGCCTAAAGCACATGCAAAAAGAAAAATAAATGCCATCTATCACATACCTTTGCAGCTTTTCCAGTCCTTGGCTTCAGACCTGTGAACTCTTCATCTGCTGGAAGTGCAACCTATAAAATACATTTTAAATAAAAACAGTTGCAGAATTCTCAGTGCCTACTACACTGTCATGGCAAGCTATGAAAAACTGGGACAGGAGACATAAAGTGGGTGAAAACAAATCCAAATTTCTATTATCCTGTTTCTATAAGCTCATGGCTCAAGGCTTCCCTCCTTCCTCTCAGAGATTTTCAACCAATATCCCTACCCTCCTGACCAACAATGTTCCTTCTCTCACTTCTCTTACACTCCCTGCCGCCTTGTGTGAAATAGTTCTGCTTCGCCTGCCTTGGAATCTTGACAACATCTTCAGGTCAAGACAGAGTCATGGCTCCTGGCCAATCTAAGTGTCCAGCAGTTCACTGAATTTTTTCAGTATTAATACTTCCGATATTTCATATTTTACCTATATCAAATTAACACAATTTAAAAATAGATAGTTTTCAATATCCTGCTTTTACACAACAAAAAACAAAATTCCCTTTTTAGCAAAATGTAATTTTCAACAGTAATCAAGCAAGCCTTTCGTTTTTGAACCAGAGCAGCAAAATATTTCAATGCACTGCTGCACCCTTAGATTTCAGTATGAACACTGACCTCTTTTAACAACCAGCAGCTCTTCCTCTCCAACAACTGTGCTCAGAATGCACTTGATACCTCTCAGATATGGAAGCCTATCAATATCACTGACTTTTTCACAATCACTCATTTTATTGCAAGTATCATTCAACCTGCTTCTGGCAGCATAACCTATTAGCTTTTCAAGTGTGTTTTATGCATGCTAATTGCCAGATACAGACCTCAAATGCATTACAAGCCTGTTCTACCTTAAATGTAAAAGGAAATAATGTTTCTGCTTGAAAGCAGGGAAATTCTACAGAAGGATCTGGACAGGTTGGATCAATGAGCGGAGACCAACTGTATGAGGTCCAACAGGGCCAAGTGCTGGGTCCTGCACTTGGGTCACAAAAACCCCAGGAAGA